CACCTTATTAAAGTCATCTATTACTATAATGTACATATTTCTACTTTTTCCTTCACTGATTTTTGCTGGATCCATTGATATAGCTTTGCTTTGTCTTGCTTTTTTAATTCATTTGTCATATTGTACACTATCAGTATTCTGTATTGAATTTTTCCTTGAAGGCCATGTCTACCAAAAGGCCTCAGTTAATGCATTCTTTTGTGTTAAAAACCTGTGTTACCTATTTCTTTTCCACTAATATATTCACTTTCACTTCATGTTTTTGTTGATCTGGTTTCGTTGACCATATTTGATATCTTCTTTCTTCATTCCATCACCTTTGATTCACAGGTAGCCAGGTCTCTGTTATTCCCAGTACATCTATTCCTTTCTCTTGACAATATTCTAATAATGATATCTTGTCTATCTCTGTAGTGATTTCTCTTATATTAATTGTTCCAATTTTCCAGTTGTTCTGTTCTTTGTTCGTTATTACTCTTTTTTCTTCTCATCTGCTATCAATGATATTTCCTTCCTGTTTTTTAATCATAATTATTTTGAATGAACTAGGGAAACTGTTTTGTTAATTCTGAGACCTCGATAGATGAGTATAAGCAATCCATTATTTTTTTCATGGTGGATTCAATTGTAGACTCCATTTGATTGATTCTTTTATTAATTAATTCTTGTTGTTGTCTGATATCCATTTTTTTGGAGGATGGAGTTCTGAAGCTTGATCTTAATGGCTATTGTTCTTGTTCAGTAGGTGACTTGATGATTTTTGATCCTTTTGCCTATATCTGCAAACCTTTTTCCAATGTGGATACTCTTTTGTTCAATATATGAACCTGATATTTAATAGTATTTATGTTTATCTGAAGCTGTCTGATGGCCTTGATAAGTGTTTCCAGCTGTGCAGGTGGCTAAGAGGAGCCTTTTGCTATACTGGCATATATCCAGTTTATATTGGATGTGTGACCTATACTGGGCCTTTTCTCTTGCCTTGTTAGTTGAAAATCTTTTCTTTAGAGAGGGAGAAGTCTCGGTTGGCCAAGTCTATTAGTTCTATCACTCTGTATTTAAAGATGGGTCCCTAAAGAAGGAGGCAGGAATAAAAGTCAAATATCCCTCACTAGGAAACATTAAAATTTTTAAATTAATAACTATTAAAAAACTATCTACAATTGTTTTCTATTATTCAAATCATTGATTCATAGTATTTCCTGATTTTTGTTCCTATTAAAATGAAGAGCTATAAATTTTGTTCCTCAAAAAGAGACATAAGTGATTTGTGAAATTTTATATACTAAATACTTTAAGGACCCATCCTTATCTATGTTAGATCCTTTTTTATTATGGTGCATATATTGAAGTCATGTTCTTGTACTCCACATTTGAAGCAAAGTTTTATTGATCTTGTGACCCACGTGAGTTCTATGTCTTCTAGTCGCAAGGCAGTATTCCTTGCCTTATCCAAGTCTTATATGTCTTTGAAATAAAGAATTACAAACTATTTGTTTTGTTTGAGTTAATTTAGAGAAAATAGTATGCCTGAACATGTGTCTGTTCAATAATTCCTTTCAATTCTTTTACTAATGTCCCTTATAGGAGGTTGACGAGTGTTGCACTATATTGGTTCCTTTTTTCTTTAGTAATCTGAGTCTTGACTATTGGGTATACTCTCATATAGTAGTTGTTCTTATAGAGAGCCCATGCTTTAACCTGCTCTTCAAATACTACTGCTAAATTAAATTATATGATTTTTGATTGGACCATACCAGCTGGTTGAAGTGAAATATATTTTATGACTGTTTTATTCTTAAATAAACTGGCTATATCTCTTTTTGTGAAATGGTTGGAGACATCCCAGAGCCTGATAGATCAGGCTCTACTTTCAGGTGTGCTAATCTGTAATACTAATCTAAATTTAGTAGTTTTATTGTTGATGATCTTAATCTTATATATCAATAGGGCCTTGTGATAATTATTAAATAGCATTACGATCATCTGTAAGCCTGTTGGTTCCTCTATGTGTATATGCTTCAGAATTACCCGATGCCTCAGCTTGTTTCAGATAAAGTTAATTTTTTCATATATTGAGTTTTCCGGTATTCTCTTTAGATCTATGAAGACTTTGCCTAGGTTGAGTGTGTTGTTGAGTCTTTGAAAGTGTAATTGTCTTGTTTTGGAGGTTCTAGACCTTTGTTCCTTCTTATAGTATATTTATTGTTGATAATGTTTTCCTAGTTATTCATGGTCTCTTTCTCTTCCTTGACTACTGTTATCATTGTTGATGCTACTGTCATGGGCAATGGTAATCTTGACTTCATATTTATCTCCTCTATTCTATCAACAGTTTTTGTAGTATTCTTCTCAGGATTTATAGTGTTGTCACGTTCTATATTCTCGAGCTCCATACTTTCTTCTTGATCTTGGATGAAATCCTATGCATCTTGGGTAGTTAACAGCTTCCTTCTTTTTCTTCGCTATTGTTTTGTTTCTCTTGGTACTGGTGAGTGGGTTGAATTTGTTTGACAGTTTGGTCTTCAAGAGTGGTTTTGCGATTTTTCCACTGCTAGTGATGATTCTTTCACTGGTATGGTTCACAACCATGTCTTTGACTCTAGGAGATCTTCTAGACATGTTTATTATAAGGGCTCTTTGAGAGCGTTAAGTTTTTTCTTGTGTGCTTTGAGTTGTTACTATAAAAAAATTTTTTCATGAATTTTGTTGGGAATGGGAAAAAGTTTTTTTTTTTTTTTATGGTTTAAAATTTTCTATTTAAGTGATAACATATTCATTTATTATTATTTAAGATTTTTTAAATACTATAGAATATTCAATTTATATTTCTTTGATAAAATTATTTTTAATCAAGTTTTAACTAGTATATATAGAAGTTAACTATTCTTATCAAATAGAAAGAAGAAAAATCTTTAACTATTAATTAATCAATTAATATAATAAAGAAAGAAAAAAAATATTTATTTTAATATAATCAAAATGTTATATTATCTTTTAAAATAAAAAAAAAATTGATTTTTAAGTAAGAAATAGTTAGATATTTTTTTTTAATCCACAGTTAGGCCAATATAGCTTGTCTGTTTTATTGTAAATATATTTTGATATTTATATATTCTATAACTTTCACATATTGACTTATCTGTTTACAAAGTTTAACCTTCTTTAAATGCAACTTAGATGATGATATTTCATTCCCTTTGTAACTTGAATTATCTGCTAGCCATTCAGATCATTGCCTACAGCTCATTACTATAAATAAGAAATAGTTAAATATAATTATATAAAATAATTTATTTATAATACTTTCTTTCTTAAAATTTTTTGATCAATTGTAATAGAGTCAAAAATAAAGTGTTGAATTTTTATATTTTAAAAGTTAAACCAATAAAGTTTTTTTTTAAATAATTCTATTCTATAAATTTATATATATATAATATAGTTTAACAAATAAGTTTATTTGTTATTATAGTTTTTAAAATATTTATATTTAATTAAACCAATAATCATAGTAAAATTAATACTTGTTGCAAAAGTAATAATATAAAAAAGAATAAATAATTATATATATAATCTTGTTTATATTTTGTTATAAATAAATTATTTAACTTTGAATTTTTAATTAATAAAATTTCAATTTTTGTAATAGGCTTGAGGATAACTTGAAATTTATTGAAATTCTAAAGAATAAAATCTTTTTATGACTTTTTAATTTTAATAAACTTATTTATTAAATTTACATATCTTATTATTAAAAATTTTTTCGTTTCAATTAAAAGTTTTTTTTTTAAATCTTTTTTTTTTATTATTATTAAGAATCTAGATTCTTTCTTAGCTATTATTAGTTTAGAACCAATGCTCAAATTAAACTAAAGATTGAAAAGAAAATAAAATGAAAAGATTTTTTACAATATGTTTATAAAGTATTTTAAATGAAAGTGTAACAATTTTATTAGTACAAGAATATTAAATTTTTGAATGAATGTTGTTTTGAAGATGTGATCAAAGTAATCAATGGAAAAAGTATTTTTCTATTTCTTAAATAAAAGGTAATTTATTAAAAACATTTTTTTTCTAAAATTTTATTTCATTTTTTAATAAGTTTATTAATGATCCTTTATATAATTATTAGAAATATTTGATACTTCATAAGATATTTTTTCAAAGCTTTGGTCTGCATATTATCAAACTGGTTTTCTATTTGTTTTTTTTTATTCATATTAACTAGGAATTGATAAAAATTTTTCATTATATTAAGATTTATTTAAATTATTTTATGTTAGTCCACCTCTTTCAAATATATTTATTATCAAAAAAAAAAAAAAAAATAATAATAATAATGATATTTAAATCGATACCAATTTATGGAAAATACTGTATATTAATAAATTGGTTGCAGCTCTTTTCTAATCCATATTCGGATGGATTTAAGACAACTACATTTAACACCAGTCGACTATAGTTAGTCGTTATGCGATCAACTACGTTTCTATCGATACGGGTGCACGTATAACAGTGGAGACACAAGATTCATTGACTGTTAACGTATAGGACATGTTGGTTTATCGGTTTACCAGTACACTGTGTCACCACTGTCGAGAGTCGCTCGTGCACCCAAAACAAATTATAAATTCTAGAATTCGGAATTGTATGACTCGGCTGAAAGCCTACCCGATTCGTATAAGGTAATGTCGTGCTAACTTAAAAAATTCCTTTATGGAATACTGAGGTGGAAATCGAGTATAGAATTTAATTACCACAATAATTACTTGCACGAAAATTTAATACATAAAATCGAAAAGTTGCCTTCAATACGCGAGAAATAAGTACATAAATCTACACGTGAATTAGTAAAATAATGGAAACTCTGACCCAAGACGATCACGATATATTTCTGCATATAAATATTAAAAGATGGTAGTCTCAATAAGAAATTCTCTCTTATTTTAATGCCCTTACTATAATTCCATTTTGGGGCATTCGTAGAATTGATACATATAATGAAGCCGGAAATCAGAGTTCCACAGACAAACACTCGTACTAATGTCACTTTAGCAATCAAGAATGAAGACCTAGAAAATCCGGACACATCCTATCCTCTTCATGGTTCCTCCGAGAGGGCAAATGAAGCGGTTCAGAATGTGTCATCATTACCATCAATGTCATCATACAACCATGCAGAAAATCGTGGTTCAAGAAAAACTGATGACTCGAAAACGGATATCTTAGAAATTGTGATTTCTTTGGCTCCAATTGAGATGAATTTGATCGATGCCTCCGTATCCGAAACGGCGGACATTTTACCTTCACCTTCTGCGAGTGAAGTCAGTTCTGGTACGTTGTATGAGAAAATAGAATCTCCGACGTCGAGTTGTCTGACGGATACTCCTATAGAAGGGAATGATTACGTATGGTCAGAAGGTGAATCAGTTGTCCCTTCGTTAAGTCCAAAAATAAGTAACATCGGTCAAAAACCAGTATTGCCCGGTAACCATCAGCAGAATGATGATAAAATATACGAAGAAAGGATTGAATACAGTTTCACCGAAAATACAGTGATGGAAAAGGAAGAGGAGAAAGGTGCAACAGACAAGGGAAAGGGGAAAGAAGATTCAATAGAAACCGAACCTTTGGACGACAATTTTGAATCTCAAGAGATCAACTTTGGTCCGGAGCAATTTACGAAGATGAGAACATTCAGAAATAACCAAATCGAAACTAGTAATTTTATATTGTCTCGAAGAAGTTGGATGGGGGTGTTAAGTATCTTTTCAATCATTTTGATTTTTGGTGGTAAGTTATTATTGCTTCAATATCATTTTAAAATAATAAAGGAAAAAAGTTTTTTTTTTTTCTTTTTTTTTTTTTTTTTAATTAATTTGACGACTTTTATGAAGGTATGGTTATTCTCTCACGCAAAATCAAGATGAAATAAATCAATATAGAAATACTATTTTCTTTCTGTATAAATTTAATTTTTATGTAGCTATTTTTGCCGCACTCTTTACTATTTCATGTGCGTCACCGCTTGTACATAACTGTCGACGTAATGGTTTGGTATATGCATTGAAAGCCACAACTTCCTATTTTGTTGTTCTCTATAATGTATATAAAAAATAACACGATAACACACAAGAGGATTTCATAATAACCTCAATCAAAGCGTTAATCTATGGTTCAAAGGTAACGATTTGTAAAGAAAATTTGAAAATCAAAATAGAGAACAGCGTTATTCAAATCCGATAAAAGTCACGATCCCGGAATTAAAGAAAAAGAAAAATAATAATAATAATAATATATACTGTATACAGTATATGCATATACAGTATATACAGAATATCATTCATCCCAGGAGAGAAATAAAGATAGAAGGGGACCGCCGTCATCCGTCAATAATTTCAGAACGGGGATTTATCTTCACGGCTGTCAGCGCGTAATACGCGATTCGCTGCCATAAACCTTTTATCATAAGGAGTCGAGTTATAGACTTTGTTGAGAATATTTCAAAGTCGAACCTCGAAGAGGAAAGAGCGCGTATATACTCACAAAGCACCGTGAGCCGTTCCGAAATTTTGTATACACCTGACCTGCTCGGAAGTAACCTCGACGTTTTGCTCCATTATCATCATATTCTGTTGTAATCTTGCCAATTGGTTGTTTAATGAGATGTATAACCTTCGTTTTGCTTTTAAGTTAGGAAAAAAAAGGTTATATGAGCAGAAAAGATCGAAACAAAATTAAGTAACTCATGGTGTATGGAATACCTCCTGAAGTACTTTGATTATATTGTACTTCACCACCTCGGTTATCCATTTCAATACGCGATAAAGGTGAGAGACGGTCAATTTTTTTTGACGTAGATCCGAATACTTATACGTGACACGTTGGTATTATGTAATCAATATTTTCTAAGCGATCGCGGTAACCTAACTTGGTGTAGATTGGATTTATTGATCTCATATTCGATTTGTAGCTCTTACTTTTCCCTGTACGTTTAGTGGTCGATTGGTAAATAGAGTTCAAAAGTATGAAATTATGCACGCAATCATCTCCATTTGCAAAGTTCGAACTTTGTTAAATAAATGCTCAGGTCACGTCACGAAAGAGGCGCCACGAATTGATTTGTGGTGAGTGTGACCATTCGATGTCAATTTGAAGATCAAGGTCCGCGTCTCAAAATAATGAGAATCCGGGGCTTTCACATGTATCAAGACGGGTCCGAATTTCACGTATCAAAACACTCATACTTCGTATTAAAAGATCAACAAATTGCCTAATCGTATGGGCAATCTTTCAATTGAATTTCCATGTGGCACGACGCGATACATCGTCGCTAATACATTTTGTATAAATATCGTTTCCAGATATTGTCCCAATGACTAATTCTCCTTTTTTTTTTTTTTTTTTTTTTTTTTTTTTTTTCTTTTCTTTTTTTTTTTTTTTCCTTCCAGAATTTTAGTTAATGTAATTTCTCTTTACGAAGACAACCAACGGCTATCAATCAATCAATCATGACACAATAAATTCACTCTTTGCAAAGAAATCAATGACGATAATTTATTCCAATTCATAAAACAAATGATAGATTGATTTGAAGTCAATTAATGTTAATTTAAAAAATTTAACACCAAATTAATGATTTCAACACGAATTGATAATAAGATAATTAGATTTTTTCATGGTTCGACAAAGGAATGAATTCGCGCTGGTTTGCGCAGATGCAGGCAACAAAACTTCAGCAAGATGTGCATGCGACTTTCGAATCAATTTACGGGGGTGCTCGGAAGAGAATATCATTTATACCACAAGCATCGTGCTTCTACCATATTTACTTTTGATCTCGGCGATTTCCGCGGCGTTTATTTATGACCAAGTGCACGTGAAGCGGCAATCGGTGCTTTTTCCTTCGCGAGAGAGGGGCATAATCAGAACGAAACCACAGTTTTCATTTAACATTGCGGTGTGCATATTTCATTTAGGTAAATGGTTGCGAGCTTTTCGAATCAACCTACATCCATTAGTCCGCATCCTAAAACACCTTTACTAATTTTTAGTGCAAGCAATATCGCTACTGTTATTAGTCTTGGATGCATTTCCAAATGCAATCTACGCTGAATGTAAGTTTCCACTCGGTTAATCGGTTCTAAAGAGTTGCGACATTGTCAATCTCACAAATCTCCTCTTATCTACACGTTTCACGACAGTTTTCGCCTACTTTTCGCGCGAAGTCGGATATGCGCTTGCGGTGTTCTATCCAATTAGCATAGGTGAGGTCACATCAAACTCTCTCGGTCCGCACTATGAACGTCTGACAACGTGTTTGACCTAATGACATTTCTTCTTTGATCAAATTTGTAGTATATTCGACACCCGGAGTGCATTCGTCATACACCATCCAATCTAAATGGAATCCCAATAGGCAATATCTCGATATTTTTGCCATGTATCTAATTATTGGTCCGTTTATCTCGAACGTTCCTTTGTCCTTAATCACGGGTTATTACGTCGAGGCCAATGACATTTCGTCCGCTAAAATTTTTTACATCTCAAATTCCGTGGTATGGTGTTTGTGGACTTTACAATACGTGGCCACCCTGCTTTACGTTTACCACAAACTAGTCTCAAACGTGCGGGATATAATAAAATCGTTGCAACAAAGGAGCCACAATAACCCGGAGGTCGATTTTGTGATTCGACGATTAAAAGTAGCTGAGCGACTTGTAAGAAATTCATCATCGCCTTGACTTTCATTAATGTTATCGCGAAACCTACGATAAAATTTTCAAAATCTTTTTTTTTTTTTTTTTTTTAGCTCTCATTGACTGCGAGATGCGTGGCGTTATTGTTTTTTATTCATTCCTTGGAAAACCTTTTTTTCGCTTTCTTCTATCGCAATCTATTGCTATCACTGCCAACTCTCAATTTCCTCTTTTACTCACTATGGTATCTCATCATACCCATCATTTGCAACATTTCTCAAATTGCCATGTATTATTATTATTATAAGCAGCGAAGTCTGACATCAGACAATCCACACAACTTCAAGTCAAAAGTACGCCTGGAGATCGACTCGAAATCGATATCAGTGCAAGTGATCAAGGAGCACAATGATACAAAAGCCGATCAGTCGGGATATGAAAACAAAGGTTCACTTGGGTCAACTCTAATAAATTCTTTATCTATTTCCAAGTACACGGATCGATCAGCTCCATTGAGTGGTACCACGATCATCTCATCAAGGGGCAGCGTTTCACAACTCAGATTTCTTGGTAATCAGAGTAATCCGAGCTTTCAAAAAATCCAAACGGAGGAGTACAACTCTTCGCAAAGTATTATGATTTCCGTATACGGTTGTAACCTTGAAAGAGACGAAATAGTTGATTTTGCGGAAGAGTTGAACGTGGATAATGAGGAAGATCTTAGGAAGTCCTGGTTAATGAAAAAGCCAGTAAGAAATAGAGGGTGTTGAAATCAAAAATTGCAAATCCTAATTGTAATGGGAACTAGAGATTCATAGATTTGTGTGTTGGAATGATTTAGATAATCCGAGTGTGTGTGTTTCATTAATGATACCGGGAATTCGGAATAAAGATGCGATTGTCATAATCCGACATCTGATCAGAGATACGCTCTTGAAACGTACTGTATTCTTTCTTTCTCAAAAATAGCGGATACCCATGGAGCAAGTCAATGGTTGTGTCTTACTAGCGATTAGCGTCTCTTCTTATCATTATCATTCATCTTGTACATGTCTTTATTCTTAAAATATAAATAAAAAATTAGTTTCATTCCTGCACTCGTTGGACACTAATTACAGTGCTGACTCGGTGGAATTTTGTCCGTTTAGCGTCCACGCTCAATTTTTAGCATGTGGCACTTATCAATTGGCCGATCCTGATGTCCAAACCTCTGAGCTCCGCGAAAATGTTAACAACGACGAAGGAGTCATGTTGAGTCAATTTGATGCACCCAAAAAGAGACTAGGAAGGTTGCTTTTATACCAAGTCACCGGCGATAATCGTTCCAGAAAAATGTATGTATGCGTATATAGTGTACGCGTGTGCGCATATCAAGAAAGACTGCTGTTTTGACTTCGAGCAATTGATCTAAAAGGCAAGAAATCCAGCGAATTGAGACAGCTGCAATACTTGACATGAAATGGTTGGTACTCATGATTTCCATGGAAACCATTATTCTTCAAGATATTTATCAAAAGTCCATACACGACCTGTTATTAGGTCCCATCAAGAGATCAATGATAATATTGTCTTGGCATTGGCGGACGAATCGGGAAAAATTTGCTTGTATGGATTAAATCAGAATAATGTAGAGATAATTTCCTTAATTACAAGCAAATCTCCCTTTACCTGATCTAATAATTCCCTCCACAAAAAGCAATTCGATCTCTTGAATTGTCATGCCGTCAACGAGGAGAAGAAGTTGTGCCTTTCTCTTGACTGGTCTAATCGCTTGGAAGCTGGGTGATGTGTGGTTTGTCGTTCATTGTTTGGCAAATTCGTTCATTTCACAAAAGTCATACTGACTTCCTTCAATAATCAATTAGCGCTAAAAATGGGTCGATTGTTATTTCCCAGAGTGATGGCAGCATCGTTGTGGTGTCGGTGGACAATCAAATGGGAATCCTCGAGAGAGGTCGATGGTTGGCTCATGATTTTGAGGCCTGGATAGCTGCCTTTAACTACTGGAATACAAATTTGATATATACTGGTTGGTGGGAAATTCTGAACCGCACGCAAATGGTTTATTTACGAAGCCGTTTTTTCGATGGAAATTAGGTGGGGACGACTGTTACTTGAAAGGATGGGATCTGAGAATAGATTCGGCTCCGACATTTGAAAATAAAAGGTTCGAACTGCACCTCCTTCACGGTGAAATTTTTCACTTTGTTAATAACATTTATTTCGCTTTAAGATCCCATCAAGCCGGCGTCTGTAGCATACAATCCAACCCTCATTCTGAATACTATTTGGCCACAGGAAGGTAAGTAATCATAAAATACAATCAATTTTTTGTGACATACAGTAGCTGCCCGTGTGGTCGATTATCCTATCACTTTCTCAATAGTTATGACGAACACGTCTTACTTTGGGATACACGATCAATGAAACGACCTGTCTACGACAACCTTGTCGGTGGTGGTGTATGGCGATTAAAGTGGCATCCGACGAGGAAAGATCTTCTGTTGGGAGCATGTATGCACAACGGCTTTCATGTAATCAAGGTAGATGGAACGTCGAGAAAGGGTAAATATAAATACATAAATACGCAGCAACTTTATAATCTGCACATTCCCTCTCAACGTCCTGTCGGAATAAAAAAAAAAATCCCCGCAGATGCATTATATATGAACAACGTTGCAAGTTTTAAGATCCACGAACCTTTGGCCTATGGTGTTGATTGGTCTTACTCCCGAACATTAAATAAACCTTTGGTAGCCGGGTGCGACTTTTATGGTCACGCGATACACCTGTGGTAATATTGTGTTTATTGTCAGATTATTTATCGGCTGAAGTTTGACTTCACGTTTCTTATATTACAGGGAATTAAACTCGGATTGCCTTTAAATTATGGTTTACGTTGGAATTGTTCACGAGAAAATATTTCGACTACCTTACTATTTACCGAAGCATTTTGCGTTATGGTCTAGTTTATTCGGCGATGGTTGTAGTGGTTATATATTAATATTATTGTTACCATTTTATGTAATTTTATGAACTTAAAATTAAAGGTCAAATTCTGTGATGCAATTAATTTGGAAAAAATTCAATTTAATCAAATTGATATAGAATATACAGTATATTAATTTTATTTATATTAATTTCTCTGATAATAGAGAAAAATTATAATATAGAAAATTTTTATTACAAACAAATTTGTGTTTTCAATAATCGAATTTATCAGAGTAAAAGTAAAAAAAAATTTTTTTATATCACCGAAATTTCAATAGTAAATTTTAAAATAAATCTTGATATTGTATAACTAATAAATCAACAATTTGCTATTTTTAATACTTAATTGCTATTTTAAAGAAACCAATTTTATCTATTATATATTATATTTAAATATAATACAAAAAATGATTTAAAAAAAAATCAAAAAAAAAAAAAAAATTATATTAAAACTATTAAATACTTTTTCTTAAGAAAATATATATTTTTATATTCATTCTATTACTACTTAATTATTTAAAAATATGATATACTGTATATAAAGAATATTATTATTTTACAAAATTTTATATTTAGTATAATTTGATAAAATAGTAAAAGAAATTTTGTTTTCTTTTATTTATAATATATGTTTGATTCAAATTTATTTTTTTATATAATAAATAAAAAATTTTTATTTTTATTTTAAATTTCTAAAAAATTAATAGTATATATTTTTATATAATAGATTTATAAATTTTTATAATTTCAAATATTAATCTATTTATAATTAAAATTATATTTTTTTAAACAAAAATTTTTAAAAATGATCAAAATTAAATACTTTATAATACAATTAAAAAGCAATTAAAGTTATTTTTTGATTAAATAAGCAATTTATCTAAATTTATATTTTTATTACTTAATAAATATATCAATTTTATTACAAGTAATATTATTTTTACTAGTTTGTTCTATTTTACTCAAGCCTTATAATATTTTAAAGATTTATTATAGAATTTTTATATTTCTTTAAAGAACTTATAAGATATGTTCTTTATATTAATCTTGTTTATATTTTATTTTATAAATACTATAATAGATTCTTATTATTTTTAGTTTTCAAAAGACTAATTGTATTTTAATATATATAAATTCTATAGTTATATGCATATATTCTAATGATTTAATAATATTATATATTTGAGTAAAAAATATTAAAAATTATCTGTAAAAACTCTTTCCATTAATCCTTTGATTATACAATTATATATAAAAAAGATATTCATAAGAAGTTTTATACTTCTTTGCTAATAAAGTTTTTACACTTTTATTAAAAAAACTTGAAGCTTGTTTTCACATATTTCTTCTATCCATTCTTACTTGTTTATAAACTCCTTTGAATAAAAACTTGGGTTTCTAGTGGTCTAAAAAGATTCAAATACATATTTTCTCTACTAAGGACAAGAAGGTTTTAAAAAGTAAAAGGACTGACAAGTGGAGTATCACCTTATAGAGCTAGAAGTGACAATAAATGGAAGTTTTGTTGACAGAAAAGGTTTATTATTCACCTTCTTATATATTATTTTATACTCTCTTAAAGTGTTTATTGTTTTTTATGGTTTTCTTAAGGATTTTGTCTACCTTAGTTTGACCCTAAATTTCTGGTAACACAATATCACTTGGTATCTGATTTGTTAACACAAATCACATTAGTAACTAAATATAAACAAGCTTATATTGATTACTTTACATATTCTGATAATGTTATTGATAATTGAAAGAGTTGATTGGTATCTCATATCCATCTCACTCTTTCAATTGAATTAACATATAGAACAAGTTCCATAAGATCAATAAAGATATAAGCAACAAGTTCTCAGATAGTGAAAAGACTACTATTTATTCAAGCTGAAATCTTTCTCTCCTATCATCTTGATCAGGCAAAATTCAAGAACAAGGTTTCCTTTTTATCCCAATCAGGCAATAAAATCAATTGATCTCTAGTCCATACTAAGCTCCAACTCTTTGATTATAGTTGAGAATATATTTTCCTAGAAGTTGTTGAAGGATATCATAATCAATGAGAATCCTCATCACTTTTAAGATTCTCTTACTATTATAAGGCAAAAGAATTATTGGGGAATCTGATCTTTTGAATAATTGAAATATATATTAGTTAAATTTTTTTAATTAAATATGACTGTTGAAAGTTATCATATTGAAACAATATAATTCAGTTTTTACTAGATCACATAAGAATCTGAAGTTCATTATAAGTCACCTCTTTATTACAGGTAAATAAAAAATCATTACCCAAAGAAGGTTGGAATCAAATATATCCTAGAAGTAAATATTTCTACTAGGTGATAAGTCTCCTTAAACAGTACATAAGAAGAAAATCAAGATCAAGAATTATTAAGTTCCTCAGATGATTAAAAAAAGAAAAGATATTCTAATTGAGTATTTTTTATTGAGAAGAGGTCTTAAGAAGTAGGTCTTTGGAGAAAACTAGAAATATTTTTTCAATTTTTACTTTTTCATTTTCTTGTTATTTGTTTAAACATTTTTAGATATCTCACTTC